AACTGATAGATAGTCTAGGGGAAGGGGTTGAATTTAACTTTGCATAAATAAGAATTTTGGCCAGCCAAATTGGTTTCGGTAAATAGAGAGTGAGATTTAGCATTGGTGAAACTGATAGATAGTCTAGGGGAAGGGGTTGAATTTAACTTTGCCAAGTTTGACAATGAAGATTTTATTAACTTAGAAATGGAAGTTTATGCTATATCTCACCTAGCGGACCTATATTATAGCTTGGTCATAGAACAAGTTGTCTTTCCATGTAAAAATGCTCCTCCTCCAAGTCCAGATCGAGCTGCAAGATACTCAGAGTCATAGGGTTCGTTTGGTTTGTATTTCTGAAAAAATTTTGGGAAATTTTCTCTACAAATAAGTTTTTAAAAGTAATCAAACCAAACAAATTTTTCCAAAAAAATTTCTCAAAACTTGTAAACCAAACAAGTTTTCCAAACAAATCTCCCTTTCACACACATCACATCAATCACTTTTTCCAAAACTCTCTATCAAAATAATTTTCCAAAATATCTTTTGAAAAAAACCAAACCAAACGACTTTTCGTACTTTTTATCTCTAAAACACATCTCTCAAACACAAACCAAACATACCCTATGTGTTTCTCCTAGGTCTACAACTCCAAACTACGGTATGACTGGAGATATAATTAACCAAGAAAGAAGTTGAACGTGATTCGAATTAATAATTTTCATAGCATGATTGGGTCATTTGGGGAGCCTATCTTTGATTCGCATGGAAGGGTGATAGGAGTATTTTACTTCGGTATTCATATAAGTAGTTTAAGAAAATTCTGTCAAGATTGCTTAAGGAAAATGCATTCTCTATGGATTAGCAGCGGGGGAAAGGGGCATAGGCAGTTGTTTTGATTGAATCATACAAGGGGGTGTCAATGGATATTGTGAACATGGAATTTAAGAAGCTACTGGAAATGATCTACTTCCATGAATGTTGCTAATTTTAGTCATTCTTGTACTATTTTTGCTGATATTTTGTTTTTGTTGTAGGGGTAATGAACTTTGCATTTGTATCTCTTTCTTTGTTGGATATGGACAAGTACCTACGCCCCTTTCTCCCCTCGCTGCCAATCCATAGAGAATGCATTCTCCTTTTACCTTTGTCTTTGACCTTGCATTTTGTCAAAGGCTGAGGTAAGCAATATTGACACAACTTTCTTAAACTACTTCGGTGAACACCTAAGTGAAAATTATTCAAGATAAAGCGATATACGCTTACCACCCTTCCATGCGAATCAAAGATAGGTGCACCAAATGACCCAATCATACTGTGAAAATTATTGATTTGAATCACGTTTAACTTCTTGTGTAGGTCAGCAAGGTCAACATCTTTCTTGGTTAATTACATCTTCAACCATCCTCTAGTTTGGAGTTGTAGACCCAGGAGAAAAACACTAAGACTCCGATTATCTCTTGCCGCTTGATTTGGACTTGAAAGAGGAAGAGCATTTTTACATGGAAAGGCAACTTGTCCTACGACCTAGCTATAACATAGGTCAACCGGATGACATATAACATAAACTTCCATTCTTAAATCAATAAAATCTTCATCGCCAAACTTGACAAAGTTAAATTCAACCCATTCTCATAGACTATCTATCACTTTCACCAATGCTAAATCTCATTCTCTACTTACCGAAACCAATTTGGCTAGCCAAAATTCTTCTTCATCTACACAGCGAAGAGTTATCGTTTCAAGAATATCGGGTTGGATGTGTGCAAATGTCAAAACAAACCAACTTCATTTAAAATGATCACACCACCATGTACCACATTCATTATGTTTTATGGCTCTCCAACTAACGAATAATTCCATTTGCCACTCTCATTTCCAGCCAAAGAGGGATTTTTCAGGAAGGGTATTAATATTGTCTCTATAAGCACCACAACATGTTTCATTCTAACATAAAATTGTGGCCTTCGTTGTAGTAAAAGGCAATCATCATTGTTTGAAAATTCTTGTTCAAAACTGATTTCCATGGCCTATAAGAACAATGATTATTGGATTACAAACTGAAACACTTCTTATTTCCATGATGAAAAAAACAACAGAGATGGGAAAAAAATGGATGAAAGGGGAAAACAAACATGAACAAAAACGAAATAGATAATAAAAAAATAAAGACACACAAACATAGATATGAAGATTAAACATTATGCAACAGTAAATTCAAGCATTGCCCGTAAAGATTATTAAAATATAAAAACTTTATGCAACATTCCAAGTATTACTTATAAACTACATAAAGTTTTTATGTTTTAGTAACATTTACAGGGTAATGCTTGAATTTATTATTGCATAACGTTTTTCTTCATGTCTGTGTTTGTGTCTTTGTTTTTTAATTTTTTATTATCTATTTCTTTTTTCTTCATGTTTATTTTTCCCCTTTCTCCATCAATATTTTGTCCTATCTATATTTTTTTTCCATCATGGATATAAGAATTGTTTCAATTTGTAATCCAGTACTCATTGTTCTTATAGGTCATGAAAATCAGCTTTGAACACTGTCTTTTACTATAACAAAGGCCCCAGTTTTATGACAAAATAAAACAAGTTGTGGTGCTTATAGAGACTAGATTAAATACCCTCCTTGAAAAATCTCTCTTTGGCTGGAAATGAGAGTGGCAAATGCAAGTATTCCTTAGTTGGAAAGCCATCAAACATAATGAATGTGGTACATTGTGATGGGATCATTTTAAACAAGGTGGGCTTGTTTTGACATGTGCACACATCCAACCCGATAATCTTGAAACGATAACTCTTCGCCATGCAGATGAATAAGAATTTTGGCCAGCCAAATTGGTTTCGGTAAATAGAGAGTGAGATTTAGCATTGGTGAAACTGATAGATAATCTAGGGGAAGGGGTTGAATTTAACTTTGCCAAGTTTGGCAATGAAGATTTTATTGACTTAGAAATGGAAGTTTATGCTATATCTCACCTAGCGAACCTATATTATAGCTTGGTCATAGGACAAGTTGCTTTTCTATGTAAAAATGCTCCACCTCCAAGTCCAGATCGAGCTGCAAGAGATACTCAGAGTCAAGTGTTTCTCCTAGGTCTACAACTCCAAGCTAGAGCATGGTTGGAGATATAATTAACCAAGAAAAATGTTGACCTTGCTGAGCTACACAAGAAGTTAAACGTGATTCAAATCAATAATTTTCATGGCATGATTGGGTCATTTGGGGCGCCTATCTTTGGTTCACATGGAAGGGTGGTAGGCATAAATAGCTTTATCTTGAATATTTTTTCTTTCGGTATTCATTTAAGTAGCTGAATAAAATTCTGTCAAGATTGCTTACCTCAATCTTGGATAAAACGCAAGGTCAAAGACAAAGGTAAAAGAAAAATGCATTCTCTACAGATTAGCAGCGGGGGAAAGGGGCATAGGTAGTTGTTTTGATTGAATCATACATGGGGTGTCAATGGATATTGTGAACATGGAATTTAAGAAGCTATTGGCAATGATATACTTCAATGAATGTTGCTAATTTTAGTCATTCTTGTTCTATTTTTGCTGATATTTTGTTATTGTTGTGGGGTAATGTACTTTGCATTTGTATCTCTTTCTTTGTTGGATATGGACAAGTTTATTTTGTTGATGATAAAAAAATGGTAATTTGTTATGATCATTATTGGTAGATACGATAATCATATTTTGGTGTCTTTGTGAGTCAAGTAGGAAAAATATTTGTTTGTTAGTCATTTGGATGTTTGTGGAAATGATCATTATTTGACAGTTTGGCAGGTGAAACTACAGTTTCTTCTATTGAATTATCATCTTCTTGGGGACTTGCTCTCCTATTTGGATTCCTCTTTTCGATTGGAGAAGTGTGAAGTTAATATGAAACTTTGGTGATTATAGTGGTGCTTGAACATTTGCTCTTACAAAGTTCCAAGTTTTTCTGTTTGATGTATGTTGTGGTAATTGATTTTTCATTAGGTTAATTCATCTTATATGGTTCTTTACACTTCTTTACAATTGATGCACATATCACAGGATCATTCTCATTGCAAGTTCCTAATTCAGCTTCCAAGATATTGCCCAAGTATGTTTGTTCTTACTCAACTCCAAATGGGCTGGCCCATCTAACCCTCAGATCTCTAATGTACTTTTGTGTTTACAGTGCACTGCCCAATTTCTGCAATATTATTGATGCACCTTTGGTTGTGAAGAGGTTTCACAAATCCTAAAAGGAGGTTTAGCACACCACACTCAACTGTTTCCCTCACATTGGATGATTTAAACCTTAATTTTCAATATCTTTCCTCTCATGTGTGGAAGGAACTTGGAATTCAGGAATGATGTTATCTTCGACTTTGGTGGACGTGTGAGTGTTGCTAATAAATCAAAATCGTTATGGTGTGTTACTCTCCCGATGTATTTTCTTTCCTTTCTCTTTTTCTTCTCTTGAGTTTACTGGTGAACTAACTATTTTTTGGACTCTCTCTCTCCCCTCCTCTCCTCTGATCTAGTTATTTGTTTACAAGTGTTTACCATGTGCTACTACATATATTCACTTTCTTTACCATCTTGCTTACTCTTCCACCAAATTTCAGTATGAAAATTTTGTTGGCAAGCTGGACTGTATTAGATTGGTGGAAGTAATATTTAATAGTGTACCTTTATTTTAGCACATTGAAAAACATTGAATAGTATTGTATTGCACCCAAAAAAAATACTTTTATTGAAATAATGACCTTGATATCCTCGGGTACCGCAGAAGACCTAAGGAGACTAGCAGATGTTAAAATAGTACTTAAGTACGTACCATTGACATTCTCACAATCTATGATAGTGCTAGACCCCATAAATAATGCCTTCACACCTAGACAACAATCTCTCTCTCTCTCTCTATATATATACACACACAAATGCACATATATGTAAGAATTAAAATTTTATTGTAGAATTAAAATTTTATTGAGCAAAGCAGGACTCATATAATAATGTAGTAATTAAATACCTACCTGTGAGGAGAAGTTTTCAAAGCAGCTCTTTTGATATCAATATCCAAGTACACATTAGCATATGTATCAGTGTAGTAGATCGATCGTCGTTCAGTGCAAGCAAATCGTCGTTCAGACGTGTAGATCGTCGGTCGTTCAGTGTAGATCGTCGGCCGGAGGTTACCGTCGGACGGTAGGGTAGGGTAGGGTAGGGTAGGGTAGAGAGAGAAAGAGAGAAAGAGAGAGAGAGAGAGAGAGTATCAGCGTGTTGGGTCTGTGTCTGTGAAGAAATTAGGGCCAATCTACACAAAAGGGCCTGAGGCGTGTATAAAATTGGGGGAAAAAAGGAATAAAAAAAAAGGCACGGGCGGGTCGGGTTTGCGGGGTAAAATGGCAGATCACCCGTCTCCCAATCCGAACCCGACAACTTGAAACATTGGGCCTCGCCCGTCCGCCACACACCACACAACCATTCATTTGGGGTCGGGTTGGGCGGTTCTGACAGGTCGACAGATCCGATGCACAGCCCTTAAATCAACGAATTTTTTCAAGAGGAGTGATGGAGATCCTTTCTAATCACCACCCCACCACCCCCACACATATGTGGTAGGTGGTGATTGGAGGACAAGGAAAACAAAAAAAAGAAAAAAAAAATCTAACCAATGAGGGAGACTTATTTGTAAATTTTAAAAAAAATTAAATATTAGAATTATGTAGAAGAAATTATTACCACTTATTTGTAAATTTTAAAAAAAATTAAATATTAGAATTATGTAGAAGAAATTATTACCACTTATTTGTAAATTTTAAAAAAAATTAAATATTAGAATTATGTAGAAGAAATTATTACCACTTATTTGTAAATTTTAAAAAAAATTAAATATTAGAATTATGTAGAAGAAATTATTACCACTTATTTGTAAATTTTAAAAAAAATTAAATATTAGAATTATGTAGAAGAAATTATTACCACTTATTTGTAAATTTTAAAAAAAATTAAATATTAGAATTATGTAGAAGAAATTATTACCACTTATTTGTAAATTTTAAAAAAAATTAAATATTAGAATTATGTAGAAGAAATTATTACCACTTATTTGTAAATTTTAAAAAAAATTAAATATTAGAATTATGTAGAAGAAATTATTACCACTTATTTGTAAATTTTAAAAAAAATTAAATATTAGAATTATGTAGAAGAAATTATTACCACTTATTTGTAAATTTTAAAAAAAATTAAATATTAGAATTATGTAGAAGAAATTATTACCAGTTATTTGTAAATTTTAAAAAAATTTAACTTAATTGAAATTTCCCCAAACAATTCTGATTTTGAATTGGTTTTAGATTTTTTAAAAACAATTTTGAGTTTTTAATTCATATTTTGTAAATATTTTTTAATATTTATTTTTTTCACTTTTTAATTTACTTAATTTAGGTACACTTAAAAAAAATTGAAAAAATCTTTTAAAATTTTACTAAGGCCTCATTTGGGAACATGCTAATTTAGTAACTTTTTGACTATTTGACTAAAATATGAGCTAAAAAAACCTAGTATGTTTGGGATGATTTTTTGACTTTTTACGAAAAGATGTGCAAAAGGTAGAGAGAAAAGAGAATCTTTGACTTTTTAGTATGGGTTGTTAGCTTTTTGACTTTTTAACTTTTTTAATAACTTTTTGACTTTTTAACTAAACCAACCTGCTGCCAAACAAGGCCTAAATACAAATTGAAGTTAAAGAGAAATGCCAAATCTCAATCCTTTTTCATAGCAACCAACTCAACTACTCAAAATTTATTAAAGTTATTTTTAGTGTGACAATGTTCTTCCTCCAAATTCAAATCGAACTTCTAAGAGATTGTGTAAGTGTTTCTGCTAAGTCTAACACTTCAAATTGCATGATGATTGGAGATATAATTGATGTGAAAATTGATATTTATCTTGCAAACATGTACAAGAATTTACACTTAATCAAATCAATAATTTTCACAATTAAAAGGCATTTGATTCACATAAAAGGGTAATAGGATTAATATAGTTTTATCTTGAAAAAATTTAGTTTTACTATTCATTTAAGTAGTTTAAGAAAATTATGTCAACATTAGTTAATTGAGTTTCAACAAAACACATAAAGGAAAACAAAAAACGACCGTATGAATTGACAATGAAAAAAAAAGAGGTGTAATTACTTATTTTGTTGCAATCTTGCCTGTTAATATCAAAAAATGGAATTGTACTTGTGCCAATGAGGAAATTGCCCAACAAGGTTTTAATCTAATCCCTACAAACACGGCCATAAAATTGTTGCCATTGTTGTGGTAAAAAATTATCATCATTCTTTAAAAAAAAAAATTCAAATCTTATTTTCATGACGTATAAATGAGTATAGTATTACAAATTGAAACACTTCTCATTTCCATTGAAATAAAAAATAAATAAAAAAACCACACTCAAACAAACCTGAAGAAGCATTCCATTCAAACATTACCTATCAAGATTATTAAAATATAAAAATATTATGGAGCATAAACATTACATATAAAAATTATTATTCCATGCATTAGTTATACGATTCCATACATTAGTTATACGACACCGTAACAGAGAGACAAAAGAGGGTAAAGGCATAAAACTATAGGAAAAGGGGAAAACACACAAGTAATAGAGATAAAAATAAAATAAAATAAAAAATAATATACCATATGGAAAGCATAGATGAAAAAAATGAAAAAAAAAAAAATAGACTGAGATGAAGAAGGAGAAAGTAACCGGACATGTAGGGTGCAGATCAAAGATGAGAGAGAGAGAGAGAGAGAGAGAGAGAGAGAGAGGTGTAAAGCTATAGGCAAAGGGGACAACAAATAAGTAACGGAGATGAAAATGAAATAAACAAACAAAAACATAGCAAAGAGGTAACATAGATGAAGAAAAAATAAAAAACAAAAGACAAAAAAAATAAATAGGGACGGGGAAGGAAAAATAAAAATAAAGATGTGGAGATCAACGATAAAAAAATAAAATAAGAAAGAGAGGAAAAAAAAGCTAAAAAAAGGCTAGCTACTCCAATGGTTAGCTAAAACAGCTACCATTAGCTTGGGCAGAAAAGGGTTATCCAGTGGCATGTTATAGGAGTTGCCAAAGTAAAATCTGCCATGCAAGAACATGAGAACAACAACAAGAACAGTACCAACAAGAAAAAAAAAAAAAAAAATTATAGATAAAAATCAACAAAAATATTAATATGAACTATTTCAATTCTTTCATCAAATTTTCATTAAAATCTTTTTAAAAAATTACATTCTCATTTCAAATTTCACTTTTCATCAATTTTGGTTTAAAAAAAAAACCCCACTCCAATCCTTCATGTTTTAACAATTACATCAAATTTAATGAAAAATATGTTTCTCCCTTGATTTGATACAAGTTCGATGAAAGGATTGAACCATATTTTCACCACTATTTTTTATCAAATTTAAATTTGATGAAGGATTTGATGAAAGATTGGAAATGATCTAACACGTCAAATTATAACTTTGGGTTGCAATGATCATATGGGTGTTTGGGAAGAAACTTTTTTAGTCTTTTTGGTTAAAATAGCACTAAAAGACAAAATAGGTTAAAATAGTCAATAAGACAAAATATCACATTAAACCCATAATTATTTCACTTTTTTTCTCTCACAAACATCACATCCAATTACTATCTTTCTAAATACAAAAATTTTAGTCTCCTAAAATAGCCAAAAATTAAAATAACCTACTAAAATAGTAACTTCCCAAACATCTGCATACAAAGAAAAATGAAGAGATGAAAAAGGAGAACAGGGACGAGAAAGGTAGATCATCTATAGCTTTGGCTTGCCAAAATGATAGGCATTGATCATAGATGAAGAAAAATGAATAGATGAAAAAGAAGTAGAAAACATGACAGAGATGAGAAATGCAAAAATAAAAGTAAGAGATACACACATATATAATCAAGAGAGTGACTTACCCTTTGAGATGTTGAGGAAGAAATCGATTGAAGAAGATCTTTTGGAATGCAAAAGCCTAGAAGATTGAAGAATGGTGTGAGAATGGCGAAATTATAATTTGTTTCTAGGGCAAATTTAGGTAATGTCCCAACTTGAATATTATTGGTTAAAATAATGGGTCTCATTATTTGTTTGTCTTGAAAAGACAATTAGACACTTGTCTAGCCAAGTTTGGCATCTTCCAAAAAATTCAAAAAGTCAAAAAGTCACTATCCTATTTAAGTCACATCATCTAATTTGTTTCTAGGGCAAATTTAGGTAATGTCCCAACTTGAATATTATTGGTTAAAATAATGGGTCTCATTATTTGTTTGTCTTGGAAAGACAATTAGACACTTGTCTAAATATGAATGATGTAGAACAATACTTTTAGACCACCAAATAACTTCTCATTAGGAGTAACGCTCAAGATTTTGCAGAGGGCTCTATTCTCAAATCTCAAATGCCAAAGCCTAGAAGATTTTTTTTTTTTTAATTCATTATCTAAATAAATAAAAGGTTTAAATATTTTTTTTGGCCCAAAGTGAAATTAATTTTGATTTCTAATATTTAAAGTGTATTAATTTGATCTTCAACATATAAAAAAGCAAGCCACACTATTATTTATTTATTTATTCATTTATTTATTTATTTTGAACTTGTAGATGCCATCAGGCTACAGAGAAATATCAACAATTAAAATAGAGGGGTGCTATTAACACCCCATAAATTACCAATTTTTAGTTTTTTTTTATTACAATAATTACTTTAAATGAAATTACTAAAAAATGCATCATTAATTTTGGGACACCCCATCCTACAATTAAATCTACACACCTACTATATCATGAATTTGGGTTTATGTGAGCACCCACCTCCATCACCACTCATTCATCTTCTCCAAATCTCAACTTTAAAATTTATCCACTCTCAAAATCTTGAAAACCCTTTAGCAACAATATTCTAGCGTTAACGGTGGCAACCATTTCATTACTTACACTTCTCCAGCAATAACAACGAGTGGAAGTTTTTTGGACAACTACAACTCCATAAAACGAAAGGAGTACTACAATAAAAGCTCAGAGGAGATTCATAACTTTGATGTTGTTCTTAGCTCAGAGGAGATTAGGTTTGTAAGGTGTACGGGAAAGAAATAAACCTTCTCGTATAATCCTGTTGATCAAGTCTGCACTCCTCTGTACGTCGTCGTTTTATCACCTAAAAACACAAACGTGAGCTAGCCGGCGGGTGTGTGCCGGAAACCTCTCCGATGCCTAAGTCAGTAAGCT